CAGCCCTTGGGAGAAAAGACCCCTTAGTTAAGATCCCCTGTGTTCTGAAGTGTGATTTCCCAATACTTCTCTCTATAACCAAGAAGCTGGGGAAAAATACTGGCAGCCCTCTATATTTCAAATGTACATAACATGCAGAAAAACTGCATTTTTGACAAAAAAAAAAAAAACAAAAAAAAAACTTTCCTTATGATGGTTGGACAGCCTGAACTGAGAGCAAACCCCATTGCTGGTAACCTGTAACATGCTGAAGGCATTGTCTATGCTCAGGATTAAATCAGTCAGAGGTGTATTATTGATGTGTGTGTTGTGGTGGTGTCTAGAAGCCTCTGTCAGGTCACCCATGTGTTAGACACTGTGCAAACAAAGAGCTTACAATCTGTGTAGCTGCATCACTGCTGAGCCCCCAGGGCAAACCTGGAGAAGGATGGGGAATCAGGGGACTTGAGTTCTGTTCCCAGCTCTGCAACCCTGAACAAGTCACTTCTTCTTCAAACTGGGGTCAACCCCAATGGGTGGCCTTTGGGACTCTCTAAAGCTATGCTGATGACTGAGTTGGGGATATGCCACAGTGTAGACATGACTTGAATGCCCTTTAGATTGGCTAGGGTCCTGCGGGTTAACTGAACCACAGACCTTATGAGGGTTGCCTCCTGTTCCTTGCATTTTTTTTCTATTGAAATGTCCTGAGCTGGCCAATAGAAATCAAGGCAGCCAGTGTTCCAGCAGTTTCCAATTTACTTGCTTTCCTATCAGCTGCCTTACATCTGCGATGAGATGATTAAGCATAGTGTACTCATCATGCCATCTGATGTCACGTCACGTTATATCTTCCCTATGCCGTTTTTAAACTGGCTTGACGTATGACATGAAATCAGCATGCAATTTTTCAGCGCGGGCTCGCCTGCTATCAATCTGCAGTGTGTCTAGAATTGGATGGTGTTCAGGATGGACTGCTGCTTGTTCCACCCCATCGTGTCCTGTTATATACTGGGAATGTATAGCAGATGGAAAGATGTAAGCAGGAACACATGGCACAGGATGGGGTTATCTGAGGGTATCCCCGCATGGCTTGGGTGCGTTGGCTCTCAGCTTTGTGTTGTACAAGAGGCATGTGGGATTGCTATCTAACCTTACTCCTTAAGGTAGGGGCATGCTTTCTAAAACAATACTTAGTCCTCTCTAGCAGCTTCCATTTGAAGACCTCAAGGGGATTCTGGCAAAAATTTCCCACCATTGCGAACACTGCTGTAAACTCCACCAGTGACAGGACGTCCAGATTCTGAAAGGCACTTAGCTGACAGGTAAGGTGGAGTTGCACTAGTGGGTGCATTACAAACACTAAGGCTTTGTCTACACAGAGAAGTTAATTGCGAATAAGGTAGGGTGTGAATTTAAAGCGCAGTAGCTATTCCTGACTAACTTCTGATGAGGGGACACTAATTCTGGAATAAGAACATGCATGCAGAGAGTTAATCAGGAATAGCTCCTGTATAGGCAAGCCCTACATTAACTCTCACAAAAAGCCTTGTGAGGGATGTAAGTATTATCCCCATTTTACAGATGGGGAAACTGAGATGGATACAAGGTCAAATAATTTGCCCAGTATCAGAGCTGGGAATAGAACCTACATCCGACTCTTTGGCCTCTGCTTTCATTGCTAGGCTATATACTTTATCTCCATGAGCCTGATCCAAAATCCACTGAAGTTGCTCATGGAAAGAATGCCATTGATTACAAAGCGAGTTAGAGCAGGCTTTACTAATACAATATACATTTTTAGAACATGTGTTAACTGGTGGATGTGAACTCAACTTGCCCAGTCTACACTAGGGTTTTAGAATGCATTAAACATTTTTGCGAATGTGTTTTTAAAAAGATGCCTTTTATCCTAGTGTAGGCCAGCCCTAAAATAATGTTGACAAAGGAGCCCTGCCTCCGGGGAACTTGTGTTTTTTAGAAAAGATCCAGACCCATGGCCTAATTTCCAAATGAACATTCCTACAGTGTTGACAGTCCCCAAAAGTCAACAGGAGCGTTCCCATGAGACTCCTTAAATGGCATTACTGTGCAAGGGATTAGAAATCTGCATTGCAGCATAGCCAGAGGGCTGGTCTATATGCAATTTTTAGTACTAGTTTCACTGTACTGATGTGTAAATTTAAGTATACTAAAGTTATATAGCAGTAGACAGGCACCTTTATAAAACGGCAGCCAGTCTAAGGATCCTGGCTGCGAGCACTAACATCTCACTGCTGGATGAAGGAGAGAGGTAGCTTTTCTACCCTTCTTTGAAAATTAAAATGCTTCTTGAGGTTAGTATTTACAGTATTGCCTACAGGGACCTCTTGTGCCAGGCATTGTACAGACACATAGTGAGGGCTTGTCTAAATGTAAAAGGTGTACTGCTGTAACTGTAGCTACACTCCCATGGTGTAGATCCAGTTGTACTGGTATAAAGATGGTTTTTCCCCTTAGAGTTATTACCGCATGGAAAGGGAATAAGCTATGCCACTTTAAAGGTGCCCTTTATTGCTACAACTGCATCCACACTGGGACTTGTACAAAAAGCGCATGGAGACCCCCATGAGAGAGAGTGAGTTCCAACTCAAAATACTTCTGGTCACACATTCCAGTAAGGTTTCACAGATGAAGGGCTAATAGATGGAATAGACATTGAGCAACATGAGTTATGGACGGATATAAGCAACCTGTTGAATGAACTATTGATTTAACTATTTAAAAATGGAACTTTAATATGAAGTGTAACTGAGCGTCCAGTCTAAATAGACAAGACCAACACGGTATGTGTAGACTAGGAAAAAATGTGTTGTAAATATTGAGATAGCTACTGTGAGGCAGCCTCGGGTGGACCCCTACTAGCTTAATACAGCTGTAAGAGGTTAGAACCTTTTACCTAGTGGTACCAGAACCTAGTGCAGATGCAAAGTGGTGTTGGCTATCTTGAGGTGGTTGGTTTGTTTTATATACTTTTCTTTCCTTTGGCTGACATAGCTACAAAGGGTGAGTGGGACAATCACTGTTTTGAGTAGCTTACGACATGTGAGGGGACTTCCTAAAATGAGGCCTTATCTCTACACAAGTTGGAGCAGTTTACCAAAGGGCTTGTGTAGTCCCATTTCAAACAGGACTACGTCAACGTGAACCTGGTACCTTTTAATTCTACATGGAGCTGTTAGGGTGTAGCACGATCTATAATTCACATCCCTGTAGTCTGCACTACGGTGTAGACAAGCCCTAAGGCTTTTTAAAAACAGATTTTGCTAGAACTGGTGCAAACGTGTTATTTCAGTAAAGTGCTAGTCTATGGGGAACAGGTTCAAAGTAAACTAAAATAAAAATGTCTACATAAGGGTTTGCACCAATTTAAATTCACATCCTAAATTAAACCAGTGCAACTTTCTTGTGCAGAGAAGCCCTACATCTGTTCTAGAGCTGTGTAATCTGATATCGCTAAATCAGTTTAAGAGTAACTTAAAGAGGCACTCAAACTGGTTCAAGGCATCCGCATGCTGATTTTAAATGGGTATAACTTCTGTGTAGACAAAGCCTTATTTACCTACAGTTCAAGGATTTACTTCAAATCCTTTTACCCTCTTTTAAACTGATTGGGAGAGAAGTAACTTAGCTGTATTCTTTTCTCCCTCTTCATGAAATGTACTTATCTCTTTCTGGTTACTTGAAGACACAGCCAACCTTCAGGAAATCTCACTGAAACTAACTTGCTTCATATGGACCTGTATTAAAGGCATGAAGTAAGTGGGCTTTTTTTTTTTTTTTTAACAGCTACAGCACGCTTTTAAAAATATAATTATTTTTGTCTGATGCACATATGGGGGTGTGATTCTTTTATAAAATAAGGAAATTTATGTGCACTCCCTGTGGCCTAGGTAGGGATTAATAATGCACCCAAACAGGTGTGTTTTGTATGGTTCAGTTTGGAATTACCACTGAGTCTTGGCATGGCTGAAGTCCCAGAGCCGTGTTTTCTAGGGTATGGCTAATGAATCCTGAAGGAGCCAGATCGCTTCACAGGACGTATAATTTTTTTTTTTAATGACGAGTTGGAGTGTATGTGCGTGCCTCATGTCTCCCCAACAGCCTGTTGAGAAAGGAATGCAGGACAGCTTTCCATTCTTATCTCAATGTTCACATTTGTTTTGCAGATCACCTTTAAAGAGGCTGTAAATGCACTGTAGGGCTCAATTCCCTCTATGAGCCTAAATCCTACAGCAAGTTTTAAGAAACTGGCTGCTTCCTATAGAGCTGTGGATTAGCACTGTGGGCACATTTAAATGTCCTTAAAGGTGAGGGAGAAGCCCTCGTTTTCAAAAGAGCTGGTATTTAAATGCAATGAGGGCATATCTATATTTGCAGCGCATGCAGTGAAGACGCTCTATGCGGACGGGAGAGACCTCTCCTGTGCACACGAGCGCTTATGTCGGCCTAACTTATGTCACTCAAGGGGGTGGAATATTCACCCCCTTGAGTGACATAAGTTAGACCGGCATAGGCTCTGTCTATGCTACTGCTTAGGTGAGTCAAGCATAGCTCCATTGAAATCAAGGTCACTTTCTTGAAGTCTACAGTGCTATCTACATGTTCTATTTAGATTTAGAAAAAAAGGTTAAAGGGTGGGGCGAGAAGAGAAATCCCATCCATAAGCTCTAGGTGTCCTTTGCCTAGTTTAAAAATAAATTCAAAATGCAGCAATTTAAGATACTGCATTACAAAACCTCTGTGATGGGGGGAAAAAGGCTAGCGAATTTCTCACAACACAGAAGGCCACATGCTGAGTTTATCTGTAGCGCTTTCTTTTGAGATGTTGAGAATCTTTTTTGTACATAAACACAAGTCAGATCCTGCGCTGCTGTAAATCCGCATAGCTCCCTCGAACTCACCGCTCAGAAGATCTTTCCAGCCCTGTATGGTATATTGCTACACCTCTGCAGGCTGAAAATCAATTTTAAATGTCTTACCTCTAAACCCATTTCCATTGCCACTAGAGCAGGCAGGGGAGGGAGACCCTTGGGGCCTGATGACAGGGGCAAAGGCACTCTTCTGTTTGACAGCAGGAAAGACGGAGGAGGAGAATGGAAGGATGGAAGAAGCGCTGGAAGAGCCAACTGTTGGACTTGAAGACATGACTGCAAAATAAGAGATGATCTTCTTCAGCAATGGAATTGATAAGAGACTAGGTAAAATTGCATTGCAATACATTGTTTTCCCACCTTGATTCAGCTGTGAGAGTATAAAAATAATATAAATAAGAAACTGTTCCTATCCCAAATAGCTAACCATGCTCCGCTGATACGTATGTCTCAAGCAGATGCAGTTTTATGTAATATTACTGCTTTCATACAAATCGTATCCCAAAATGTTTTTCTCAGGTAAAATTAAATATAAGCATGGGGAATAATATTTTTAGGGGAGAGCTGAAAAAATGGCAGAGTGATAGCCCAGAACTGTTAAAATGAAGGAGCTAGAGAGGATAATGCTCTTTTACTCATGGGTTGAATGAAACAAAAGAGGATCTGCTGCTAGAGAAGTTGATGGGTTAGGGCCGGTCAAATAATGGTAACCATATCCCCTCCCCAAAAGGGAAAGTTTTAAATCTAAATAGAAAAGGAGGACTTGTGGCACCTTAGAGACTAACCGATTTATTTGAGCATAAGCTTTCGTGAGCTACAGCTCATTGCATCTGATGAAGTGAGCTGTAGCTCACGAAAGCTTATGCTCAAATAAATCGGTTAGTCTCTAAGGTGCCAAAAGTCTTCCTTTTCTTTTTGCGGATACAGACTAACACGGCTGCTACTCTGAAACCATTAAATCTAAATGCAATTTTTAGCAACCGAAATGAAACCTATTTAGGTTTCCCCAATGGAAGAGGAGGACAAAAATAGCTGATTTGGCCTCTCCCCCTCTAAAAAAGCCCTGCAACATTATGTTAACTCTGGAAGTGCGAAACAGCTGTATGTTTGCCATTAAGAAATATGCACAATAAAGCAACCTGTTAATCCGAACTGCATTTCAAAGTATGAGGCAAGGGATAAACTCAGTCTGCGTGGACTGAGGTTTGTATGAACCCAAAGAACTCAGACTTGAAGTCTAAAGTCATTGCAGCAAAACGCTGTGGGGGCCAATCCTGTTCTCACTACTAAACAGGGAGCAGGCTCTGTCTCCACCTGAACATTATGCATATTACTTTTAAACTTAAGTCACTGTTCTAACAGCAATGACATAGTTTTCAAGTGCCCAAAACTGTGATGGATTCAAAGATTTCAGGGCCTGAATGGATCATTATGGTCATCTCGTCTGACCTGCATGACACAGGCCATAGAATTTCACCCATTGGGCTATATTTTAACAAAAGAAAAAATGATTTGCACTTAGAGCAGCTTTCAGCCAGGATGCTTGCAGCGCTTTACAGGGTCCTGTTAAGCCTAACTTCGGCGTAGGACACATTGTCTTCATTTTTACAGATGGGGAAATTGAAGCCCAGCGATGGGAAGTGACAGGGAAAGTCAGTAGCAGAGCCAGAAGTGGGGTCTGCCTCCCAGACCTCTCCTCTCTAACCCTGTGTCACTCATTCATAGCTCAAGATTCAAATGAAACTCGGTCTCACTTTAGGTCTCAGTTACTGCTAATTCTATTCGTTTATTGTTTTCATGGGGATAAAGTGACTTGAAATGCATCTTTTACAAGGAATTCAGCATGGATTATGTGATGATATCAGTAGAGCTGCAGCTTGGCAGAGACCAAAATGAAGCAAAGGCCCTCTTCCCTTCACACAAGGCCCTGCTCACAAATTCACAGCTGGAATTTACTCTGCATCTATTCTTCTTAGAGAAGAGAACATTTGCTTTAGTTAAGGGGTCTGTCAGCATTTCATTATAAACGCCTATTGTCAGGGGTTTATAATTCAGCCGTAAAATTCTCTCTCTCTCCCTGAGCTGAAACTTGGCACGGAGAGCGCAGCCAGGAAGTGAAGGCTGTATGTAAAAATTTGAAAAACATCTGTTTGGCCATTTTGAAACTCTACCAGCATAAAAACAATAGAAGAGGCAAGTTTCAGATGTATTTTTGTGTGTGTGTGTGTCCGTGCATGGAGGAGAGGTTCACTGGTGTAATTAAACCAAGAACCCTTCCATTTGATATTGCAAACCATTAGCGAATGCAGACTCCTGCTTTTTTTTTTTTAAATACCAGGTCAAATATTAATTCCCAGTTGTGCAGCCCCTTACACATAGGGGATAAAGCCATAGTTCTGTGATGACTGTCTGGAATGATACATTTATAGTCTCAGGTTGGGGCCATCCTGTGCAATAGATATTTTTCCCCCCCAAAAAATCAAATGTAGCACTGGCTGAACAGCCCTGGAGCCTGAAGTCCTCCTTTTATAGAGGGATGTTTATTACAGAGACTATGGCAATGGTAGTAGAAGCCACTCTGCCATCCATCACAATATCCTCTAAGGGCAAGAGGGGTAGTTGAGCTTTCACAGCCCATTCTACTCTAAGAGGGAGGAAGGCTTGGATTGTTAAAGTTGCCCAAGGGAGTTAGGCGTTTAACTCCAATCTATGTCTACACTGCAATCAAGGGGTGTGATTGTAGCTCAAGAAAACATATCCAAGCTCACTTGGATATTGGAGCAGTGAAGCTGCAGAACTGTGCACTTCAGGACTATACAAGTCCACCTGGGATGCTGGCTAAAGTGCTCGGGTATCTGAGGAGGCAGATTAAAGCTTAGGGCTTGTGCTAGGGGCTATCGCCCTGGGCACCAACTTCTAGGAGGCACCATGGTGCTGTGGCACTTGCTTTTGGTTTTTTTTTACTCTGAGTGACCTGGGGGGGCACCAAAATGTTTTCTACCCTGGAGGGTAAAAAAGCTAGGGCCATTCCTGTTACAGCTAGCTTGGATATGTCTACATGAACTGCCATCACACCCCACAGTGAAGACATACCCTTAGTATGATTGGGGTGAATAATACCCTGTAGGCTCCTTTCAGAGAGCCAGGTGAAACACCTAGAGGGTCTAGAAATGACTCCAAAAGCCTACCCCTTTTCTAATAAAAATTGTAACAGGTGTTTTACAACCATCTTGTTATGGAGCAGGGATAAAACCATTGACACGTGATCCTTTTCTATTACATTTTATAAGTGAGCATTTGGCCTCTGCTGAGACGACCAGCACGGGGGACAGTTCTGATGGTAACTTTGGGAGGGGAAGGATATAACAAATTATTAAGTCTTGACAGGCCTGATGGATGCCTCTGACGTAAAGGCTTTGAGATCCTCAGTTGAAGGACACTGTAAGTGCAAAGTTTGATCCACGTATGGCTTAAGTAAAAAAAAAAAAAAAAAGGTCTATCAAAGAGGTGGGCACTTACTTCCATAGGGAGATCCTGTTGGAGAGCCATTAATGAATCCAGGTGAGCTGGGAACTCCCAAGTTAGACATCGGGACATTGCTGTAGCCGTTCATGCTATTACTGGAGGTGCTATAATTAGACTGCTGAGGTGTTGAACTGGAAGAGTAACCTCGAGGGGAGATGCTGCTTGTATTACGAATGTAACCTGAAATAAATTAAACATTTCACAGTGAGTCAGTGAATATGGCCTGAAACTTTTCTTTTCTCTGTTTTCCCAGTCTCAAAGAAATCTTTTGAGATTGCTCTTTTAGACCCAGATTCAACAAAACACTTCAGCAAGTTTCATTGATTTAATGGGACTGAAGCTTGTCTTTAAATGCTTTGCTAAAATATGGGCCTAAAACACGCTCAGAAATTTGTGTTTTTTGAGGCTGTGTGTGTATTTTCCTAATCAGATTTGATAGTTTAAAACTTGAAATTGGAGTCTAAGATCTGAAAAAAAACAGTAAGCTCATCTTTTAATGGTTTTGTAATTTGTGTGGGTTGAGGTTATACTTTCCAAATAATTAATGGATTACCACTTAAAAATAAAGTACCAAAATGTATTAGTAATGGGAAACTGCAGTCAACTTTGGGATATACCCTCCTCTTCTTGTCTGTCTCTGTGTGAGAAAAGATTGGCCCCATAAGTCGGAAAAAATTGGCTCAACTTGACCAGTAGGGACAATGGTTGTAAATACTGTAGGAGCAGGTTTTGGTCCATTTTTTCCCCAATCAAACACAATTTCAGTTTTCAAAAATGACTGGAAAAAAAGAGGAATGAAGCTAAAAAAAAATTCTGTATTTTCAGTTTAGGCTCAGTTATTTTTCAGTGAAGAAACTTCATTAGAAAAATGTCATCACCACTAATTTAATGTAAGTTAGTTACCATTTAGGAAATCACTGGATTCTGCTAGTTGAGTTAATCCAGGTAAATTAATAAAGAAAATGCAAATCAACACGAACAATTACGTTTTTCTATATATTACATTCCGGAGCTTGTTAAGACTTCATGATATCCAGTGCTGAAACCTTACTGCTGATCTGTGTAACATTACCTTTCTAGTTACATTTGGCAGGATATACCTGGACATAAGTTCATATGACATGACTTTCACCTCCTGGGAGGACATTGTGTCCAACTAACTGTGCATTCAGACTACCCAGATTGTATATTACAGGAATCTAGTGTTAAACTGAAAAATCAAGCACTCCAGTCAGGACATTCCAAAAGTTTAAATTGCTCCCCTGATGTTAGCTCTGCTGTGCTGCATGTATTTTATGGCACGCATTACTAACAATGGTACATTAAGGTTCACATTCAACAAGGAAAACAGCACTAGTAAATACATGCAATTTGGCAAAGTTAACATTGTAGAAGAAACAATTAACTTTTAAAAATTCTCAGCCTCTCTCCACAATGGTAGTAGATGCATTTACTGTCTTGGTGTTTCCTGAGGGCATGGATATGACTGAAAAATGTGAATTAGAATGGAAGTTGGAATTCAGCCTTACGTTTGCCAGAAAAGAGACAATGGGTAAAAATTTCAAATGCACCTAAGTCCTAATGACTTCAGTGAAAGTTAGAAGCTGAAGTCCCATTATCAAAAGTGACTTAAAGCCCTTGAACCTAACTCATAGAGGTGCTTTGAAAATGTTCCCTTCTTAGGATCTGCTCCAAAACCCACTGAAGTCCAAGGACTTTGGATCAAGCATTTACTCATCAGATCTGCTCCTTGTACTTGGATAGCAGGCCAGAAATTTGTCAAAACAGTTTTTCAATTAAACATGTAGATTTCAACAAAATTGTTTAGCTATTTAAAGCTAGTTTAGCAGTTTTAAAAGTCTGAAGAGGTCAAAATCAGAATAAAAATCAGCCAAAACGAAATTTCAAAACTTTGTTTTTGGTCCAGGACAGAATGGAAAAAATTTAAAATCATGGCATTTCCTGCAAAACAGGAAACCAGGTCCCTGCCCAGCTCTAGTTTTGGTGACAAAAATAAGGGGTTTGTATGATTTACTCCAGCCCCACAGAGCCACTATTCTGTCTCCTGTGTCACCAAAAGAGTTGTTACCTAAATTCCAGTTGCAGAACCTTTATTGTTGAGGACACATGAGCTAGAAAGAAACTAGCTTGTCCAGTTTGCCAGCAACACATTAGCTATTAAGAAGGCCGGGTGCTACTTTTCAACCGAGTAGATATGGAAATTGAGACACCAACATGAAAACAGAGATCCCCTGACGCTATTTTTACAATCACATTTTAGGATATGTGCAAACATAACAGACATTACCTTGGTTGTTCCCCTGTGTCGACTCGGAGATGCTGACTCCTAACTGGCTCCCATAGGAGTTGATTCCCATCATGCTGCTGTGAGCTGGAGAACTAGACAAAGCAGGGATCTGGCCGGGATTCCTTGGGACACTATACAATGCTTCTGCTATGTCCGCAGCTCGCTTCAGAATAATATCCTACAAGACAGCAACAGCCTACGGTCAATTTAACTTCAGGAAGTTTTTACAAAACCTTGAAAAAGGTTTCCCCCCACCCCCACAAAAGCAGTCATTCTAACCTGGTTATTATGTGGTGTTCCATACAGTGCTTCAACTAGGTCAGCAGCTCTTTTCAACAGCATCTCCTGGAGGAGGAAGAGATGTATGAAATGGCAAACCTTCAGAGACCCCCTCACCCGCCAAAAAAGACAGTTTTCTGCCTGATCTGTTGTTTGAAATAAAAACCAGGGCCAAGATTTTCTAGTGTGACTGGTGTTGTGGGAGGTCCAACCTGGTATACTTTGAAGGAGTCTTGTTTTCAAAAAGTGCTGCCACGCACCCACTGAAAATCGAGCCCCTTTCAGGTTGGGCACCCAACATCGCCAGTCACTTCGGGAAGTTTTTACCTACACGTAAGAGCATCAATAAATCACAGTTTTATACTTTAACTGATAAGTGTGCCATCCTTCTGTCTAGGAGCTCTCCATAGTCCTGAAATTGCTCTTCAGAACATTGATTATAAGAAAATTTAAGGTGGGGTTTTCAAAAACACGGAGATGAATTAAGAGCACGAGTCCCCATTGACTTCCAAGGGGACTTTTGTTCCTTACTCAGCCACTTTTGAAAGTCCTACCCTTATTCTTTAAATTACACACATGCTTTTTTCTCAGTAATTGTAACAAACAATTAAGATTCCTCAAAGCCATCTTCAGTGTTTCTGTCATCTGCTGTTAATTATCTCTGGTTTTAGGGTTTGTTTGTTTTTTAATTACCATTATCTTCTTTCATCAGGCAAATTATACAAAGTTATTATTACTTTTAAATACAATCAGAAATTAGGCTCAGATTCTACAATGGAAGGGTCAAGCATGGCTATTATTATTGGTATTGCAATAGTGCCTAGGAGCCCCTGTCAGGAACCAGAACCCCATGTGCTAGGTGCTATATAAACCTGGGTCTTTATACATTATCAATGTATCTGTTCCATGTGGTTTCAAAGCAGGCAACCTTAAAGCTCACCTCTTTCCTGCTGTGATTCTGCTGATGGACCCCCTAAAACTGGATCTGTGTAGGCAGATCCCTGCAGCTCTATGGATCCTTATAGAATTCAATGGGGTGCCAGTTGAGTGCAAAGATCTGCTGCTGTGGATAAGGGCAGTAAACTACAGATTTGGACTGGGAGGGTGTCTGCAATGGTGGGTTCCCAGCTATGGAACTGATTCTCACACTGGCAATAAAAGAAATTCCACATGCAACACATGGGCTGTAATGGTCAGATCTGACTTACCACTCTGTGCTTTATTACATATCAGCAGAAAAGAAAGTTGCAATTTAAAAGGCTTAGTGAAATGCTCGTAAATCTTTTACCTTGGCTAGTCTCTCTGGGTCACCGGGATGCCTCGGGATGACCTTTTGCAGTCTCTGGAAACCATAATCGATGGTGGGTTCATTTAAAGCTGGAAAAGAAGAGTAGTCAGACATGAGTGTGAGCCTTAGGCAATTGCTGGTTTAAAAAACCCCACAAAACAAAACATGAAGCCTTGAGGTGTATTCCGTGGAAGCCTGATCCAAAGTCCACTCATGTCACAGGAAAAACTCTTGTTGAATGGAACACCAAACCCTGCAGTGTCCTTAACATCATAACCTTAACGAAAAATTGGCCCCAATTAAGGGAGAGTCTCAGAGCCCAGCCTCCAGCCCGAGCCTGAATGTCTACACTGCTATGTAGACAAAGCCTGAATCCAAACACCCGAGTCAATTGACAACAGGCTCAGATTAGGTGTTGTAGGTTTTTCTTTGCAGTATATACTTGCCCTTGGAGACATATCCTCAGTGAGAGTAGATGGGCATAGCTCCACTGCAATCAATGGAATTATGCTAATTTACACCAACTAAGGATCTGGCCCTTTGGTTCTACTATTGCTGGACCACCAATTTGCTCTGTCAGCTTGGTTGTCACTTTCTCTGTCACTCTTTCTACCAAGCTCTCAGGATTCTTGTGAGGCTTTTGCTTATAGAATCCTTTAATCATCCTTGGAGTTCAAGGTAACTGAGCTCCTTGTCTCTCTTCTCCATTTTTACCTGGCTCCCTCTCACCATCTCAGACTCTCTCTTTCTTCCCATTCCCTCCCATCTGATGAATGCAACTCATCCCACCTGTCTAGGCTTCCTGTGGCTGCCAGAAGAGTCATCCATCCCCGCTGAACCTACAGCTTGAAACTGCCTGCCAGCCCACTGCTCCAGATTCTATGCCAGCCTCATCCACAACCCCTACTTAATGTATTGTTGCTGGCACCAAGCCCCAGCTCATGACCAGTGGGAGGGCAGAAGAACAGGGAAGGTAACATATAATACCTGGAACAGAGGCAGGTAAATTTTAGACTGGATCTACTTAAGATTGCTGATCTGGTACCTCATTCCTCACCTCAACACCCTCCATGTCTACTCCTGAAGTTGCCTTATCCGTTAGCATTAGTCAGTATCCTAAGACTTGACCCAATGCTTGTGAAATGCTTTGTAGTTGTCCATTGGAAGACAAAGTATTGCAGCCCAAATTGTCAAAAGCTAGTGGTGATTTCGGGTGCCTAATGCCAGACCTCTAACAGGTGACTTTCAGAGGGTGGGTGCTCAGCACTTTCTGAAAAAAAAAATCAACCCCTTTGAGGTATCTCAAGTCAGGAATCCAAAAAATGAGCCCCTCAAAATCATTAGCTCTTTTTGAACATTTAAGCCTACCATGTGGTAGTAATTATGTTCAGACACTTTGTGTGGGGAGTATGCCTACTATGAAACCCTGATGGGCCAACTGGCATTTGGATAAAGTGATGATCCAAAATTCAACTATGTACCCCAAATTCAAAATTCATATTAGAAACCAACATTGACTTCTCTAAATCTCTGAGTACCCAAAGTCTTTGGCTGTCCTCAGACACAACGTTTACTAATAAAATTAAGGATCTGGCTTGTAAAAACCCAACTTGTAAGTGGTGGTGAGATTTAAATGAGAAATTAACTCAACCAAGTGCTGAGAGTCTTGCTAAAAATTCCTTGTACCGTTCAATGCTTAACATGTCCTTAACTCATTTGGCAGAGTCCCCATTCAATGGCAGCATCTTCCATCTCCTTGTGCCACTTGGCCCTATAAAAATGATCACTTGAAAGAAGTAGTGCCAACAGCTGAAAGTGTCCCATCCTATCCAACACTTAGTTCCTTTCCTCACAGTACTCAGCACCTTTCAGCATCAGGCACTAGAAGAATGAAACCATCAAGTGACACAGAATATTACTCTGATCCAGATTTTCTGTTTATCTGTGTCTGTCTTTGGTATAACACCATGAAGGTAAAAGGTCATATTCCCCACTGAGATACATTTTATATTTACTTTTTATTAAATAATTATGGCATGGCATGAAGTTTAAATATTACCGGAGCTAATAAAGAGGGAATTGAGTAGAGAAAACCCAGACCAGAGAATTTAGTCTTGGCTATACTTAGAATGTCTTCGCTCTCCACTGGGAACCATTCAGGTTTGCTTAAGGAGTTTAATAATACACATTTCAACTGCCACAGAATCTAAATCCCATTTGAGAAAGGGGGAATTTTTTTTGTGTGCCAATCTTGAGAATTCATGACAATTCTCTGGAGGGTCTATACATCATGATGTGCCATTTCTCTTCTTGCTTGCGAGACTACTAGTTTAGGTTATATATCTTGGACTAAGCAAAAAATAATATATATATATATATATATATATATATATATATATATATATGTGTATATGTTTAGCTAAAAATGTCTAATGAGGAATATCCAAATCTATTACTCATGGAAAGGAACTGGCTACTACCCAACATGGTTCTTTCCCAAGGAATTGGCATGTATATATTTGTATTGTGCTCTGACATCTTAGAGCAGGAGAAGGTTCCTAGATCATATAAAACTGTTCTAAGAACAATTCAACCATTTTACACACATTATATATACAGCGGCTTTGATCACAAAGGACATGCCCAAAATATCCAAGTTGTTCACTTTGTTCACCAACGAAAGGCGACCACCTCTGAGGGAAACGCTTCCCATTGAAGCTGAAGGGTGGTGGTGGGGGTTGGGAGGGGTGAGGGTTTAGGTTCAGTTCCCAAGTTGAACTGTGGCCACAACATCGTTACCACCCCAACCCATTAAAAAAAATGCTATGGGATGTTCAGGTTATAGAAGGTGCATATATATATACGCACTCACTCCGAAGGCTTATAGGCCAAGATTTTGAAAAGTGACTAGTATCTTGGGGTGCATAGCTGGAGCCTCCTTAAGGGGTCTGATTTTCAGAGGATGGATTTTGAGCACTTCTGGTGTCTGAAATTGGGTATCTAAATAGTATGACATCCAGAATCACTAGTCACTTTTGGAAATTTTGGCTGTAAGTCTCAGGAAATCTTCCTGTTTCAGCTCACCATGGTTGTGACAAGCCACTTTGGTAAGCAAATTTCACACACTAAACATCTGTTGAATTTTCAAGGTCAGACAAAAAAATTTTATGTGGACATCAGGTAACGGGGTAAAAAGAGTTAAAAGCTAGTCAGCAAATCAGATGGTCACCTAAGCTATTCACATCCCTCTGACATAACTGGTTTGATAACAGAACATTTACAGTCAATAATAGAGCTAGGTCTAAACGCACTGTAGCCCTCCTTAGTTTCTCTTTTGCACAGGCATGAATTCAGCTGGTATGCCCTACCCAGTACCTCTTTTATGCTGCCTCTTATGCTCCAGAATCTAAGCTTTCATTTACGATACAAATAGGGGCTTGTCTACACTTGGAAATTTATCAGAATAGCCATTCTGCTGTTGCCCCCCATGTGCACACTTGTATTCCAGAATACGAGCGACTTTCCCCCAGTTTCGCTTAATCCATTTTGGATAAATCTCATTCTGGAATAAGAGTGTCCACATTTGTAGATAATCAGGAACAACTTCATGTTCAGTCAGACCCTACGTCTCTAGCCGGAACGGTTGTTGAGATCGCCTCAAAAGCAGAAACTCACACTCATGGAACTGGTGCAGTGCCATCTCCCTGCATTTGCAGAACCTGAACAATAGCTCTGCCCCATTCTTCTCAATGAAAGCTAACTCAAATACCCAATGATCACTGACACTTTAAATGTCAGCATTGTTATTTTACTGCCCAATCAAGTCACGTACACATGAGAGGGAGGATGACATGCACAATCTACTATGAGTGACAACTCATTCTGACGCCACCAGCAAATGGTCTTAGGAGATACCACTTCTTTCCCTCCCTCCTATCAAGAAGAGACCAATCCAAGGAATTTAGGAGAGCCCAGCAGGGGAGCTGGGAAACTTCCGCAGAGGGGAACCAAGCGCAAGAAGCCCACTGGACCAGGTCTGAGTGAAGGGACGCCAAGTGGAAGGAGCCCAGCAGAATCCATAGGTGTGTTCTGACCTCACCGCAGGAAAGCTGAGTGACTGGAGCCCATAAAGCATATGTCAAGCATCTGCACAATCTACTGTTTGTGGTGAATCATGTGCGTGGGGCTTATTTTGTGGGCGGAGCTTCAAAAAGTACCAACTATCTTTCTTTTTTCCCAATCTGATCCCTGTCTCCGACTTTCGAAGCACCCTTTAATTTATGACAATGTCACTGAGTACTCTGCTGTATTTGCTGGGCCTTTACAAGCAACTCCCTAAGGTCCTAGGCTATTTCAATGCCCCTTTCTGGCATGTGCCCTTCATAGGCTCGGGCGGGACAGCAGCTGCCCGCAAGAAAAATCACATGCTTTTCCCAAGGTTAGTTTCCAACACTATCTCCATCCTTGTAAGTACTTCTTCCGAGAGAAGGATAACAAGGCCTTCTCAATTCCAGTTTACAAACCTTAAAAAACCAGCACGTCCTACAGTGTGCTGCTGGCATATTTCCCAACGCAAGGCAGCCCATTGGGAGTGCAGTAAATCCCACAGATCATAGAAATGTAGGGCTGGTAGGGACCTCGAGAAGTCATCAAAGTCCAGCCCCCTGCGCTGAGACAAGACCAAATAAACCCCAGACTATTCCTGACTGGTGTTTGTCCAACCTGTTCTTATACTGCATAGATGAGATTAGTTTACCTATCAAGCCTTTCTGTACAAGGATGAAAAGCTATGTTCAAAATCTTCCTGCCACATTATGTTTGAGATGAGTTTCCCTACAACAAACTACGTGCAGAGCTGGGGTCAAGTATAAGATCAAAAGCTTACAATGAGCCAGATTCTCACCTGAGCTCCATTAAAGTCAAGAACTTGGGCTTATATATTATTAGAGGCAGAATATAAGGCAACTGCTACATTAGTCGTGGAGAACAAATGCCTTCCTGTACCAAGAACGGCTAAGGAAAAGGGGGCGGGGTCACTCAGAACCCGGAAATGGGTGAGTCACCTTTAGTCACAGCTTTCACCTTTTTATACTGCAAGATATTAGAGGTCAACGTTTTGTCCTAAGGATGACATTTTATATAGTCATTGATTAAAAAAGAGAGACACGCTTTTTGTTTCTCTCTCTCTATAGAATTACATAAAATTTTATATAATTATATCCACATTATCAGATTCAGCAAGGCTGTTCAGCAAACTCCAAGAAGAAGCTAGCAATGTCAGTCGATTTTTCAAGACTTTTCCATAGACCTCTAAATTCTGTCCGAGTTTTCCATAATGGGATCCTTATGGAAAAGGCCACACATTAAATTTTGGTGATGAGAGGAATGTGATGGCTGAATTGCAGCACCCCGAGTGATAGCACTTAAGAGTGGGAATGCTGAGAGAACCTCAATGGCAGCATTGCTCACACAGCACACTTCCCTCATAGCCTGTGCTGAATACACATCACAGGGAGCATATGCACTCCGGCAACAGCACCACTGTGGCATTTAGACTTACCCTGGAAATTTCTCTCTGATTCTTATACTAACCATTTATATCACTCTCTTCTTCAGCTTGTCAATGCTGCTCTTTTATAAAAAACTAAAGCTTCATCAGATTGAACATTACTATTTGATTATATACTAAATATTGAAAGCTTTACTCTAATCATGGGGAATCATGTACTTCAAACTACCAAAATCATTTCTGTTCCATCTCCACCTTTCTACAATAGATCTGGATTGTCTTGTGATTAAAACTCTGGGCCAGGACTCAAGACACCTGTGTTCAATTCCCAGACTTGCCACAGACTCCCTGTGTGACCCCGGGCAAATTGCTTAATCTCTCTCTGTCCCAATTCCCCAGCTGTAAAATCGGAGTAACAACACTTCCTTTCATCTGTTTAGATTGCGAACTCTTCAGGGTATGGCCTGTCACTTACTATGTCTATGTACAGTGCCTGACACATTGAAACCCTGAGCTTAGTTGTGGTCTCTAGGTTTGCGAGTAGTATGAAAGTATAAATAATAATAATAGTCATAGAATCTTAGGACTGGAAGGGACCTCTAAAGGTCATCTAGTCCAATTCCCTGCACTCATGGCAGGACTAAATACTGTCTAATTATGCTCATGGTCTGTCTTTAGCCAACTATTCAGTGCTTCTAACACTACATGACCCTTAGTTAGCTCTTTTCACCTGAAGATCTCACAGCACTTTATAAACATTAAGGCCCAGATTTTTAAAAGCATTTAGACACTCAGCTCCTATTGAAATCAAGGGGTCAGGTACCAACATATCTTTTAAAATCTGCGCCTAAGGGCCTAGCACGATGGGATTCTGATTCCATTTGGGGCTTCTAATTTCTACCAAAATACAAATCCTACTAAGAGGAGATGTCCCTCACTCTTTGATCTTCTGGGGATGGTGTTATGGCCTATGTGTTTCTTAGGAATATTGCCTGATGGAGGTTGAATGTAAAGAGTATTTCTTTAAAGAAAGGGTTCTCCACTTTTTCATAGTGTGGACATAATTTAATAGAGAGAACCAACCTTTCCTCCCATCTGCCACCACACAGACCACCTCCCCCGACATAAATGTGAGCAACTACAGCCAATCCTTATAAAGAACTTCCAGGAAACATTTAAGACATTTTTAGCTGTTTTACTCTCCACGAGAGAGGCTTTCCTGTGCTTGCCTATCTTTCCCTTCCCTCACCACTGTTGTATGTGCCCACTGGCTGCCATCCTCCACCCAAGAAGTGGCTGCATTTTCCTGGTGCAGTAGGTAAAGTTTGTAAAGCACTACGGACACAAAAAGAGCTACAGAATTTTTTCTTAAAACCCTTTGCGGTTCTTCATAGCACGGTCAAAACAGACTCATGATATCACAGCCATGGAGAGAGAGAAAAATAAACATGTTATTTTCATAGCTTGGAAGTTGTTTTTGCTGCTATTATCAGCAGCAATGACCTGGGGGAATTGATTACGCTATACTTAATAGCTGTGTTTATCATTTTGCCTAACATGATGGGAGAACTACAAGTCCTTGGGTAGATCGATTGAAAAGTTGTCTAATTTCACACCAGCTTATGTACTTCTGAATCTTCTGCTAACATGCTATTTTGTAACATATGGCAGTAAGCACCCACTCGCTCCTCAGTGAATCTAAACAGATATCTCCACGCTGATAACAAGAGCAAAATAGGCAGATTATATTATCCTCTCTCTCTTCTGCTATTTGTCATGTACATCTTCATGTCCTCTTTGGTGGAAATACGCTAATTAACATGTCAGAGAGCAGCACTACAGTTTGACTTCAACCCTCTAGAGATGGCACAGATCAGCCCTGCACATAAAACACAGACCTACAAAAAAAGGACTAATTTCCCCATAATAAAAATACACTGCTCTGTTTTATGCATTTCTCCATCATTAAGACCCTGATCCTGCACACGAGCATGCAAGCAGTCCAATCCATTGGATTTTCAGTTGCGTATACACTTATATCTTTGCAGGATCAGGGCCTAAATAAGTAAGAAGTGCCACCGAAGAACTTAAATTTTCAGTCTCTGACTCACGATATGCTCAAGAATTAACAGATCCTCCCCTTGTAAATTTCATACCAGACCCAACCCTGGTCCTGCAGCCTGTTAGTAAGTGAAATCAATGAGAAAGCTCATTTGCATAGGACTGGGTCCCTGATGGGTTTTTTCAATCTTGTTTCTGTACAATACAATTACATTTCATGCAGATTTGAGATCACAGTCACTTGAGTTTCAGTAAGTATATCTGCTAGTTAAAGAAGCTGTGCTCAATGTATTGAGGGCTCAGATTTATCCTTCCACAAATCAAAGCTGTCTCTTTAAAGGGAATTTGCTTACAAAAAATTATGGCAAAAGTCTCACCTCACAAACACAGGTATAAATCCAGAGCAGCTCCTTGCGCTTTAGTGAGGTTATTCTGGGGCAAGATCCGTTTCAGGCCCTAATCATCTGGGGCCCAGTCCAAAGTCCACCGACGTCACTGGAAGTCTTTCCATTGACTTCAATGGGCTTTGGATCAGGACCCTACAGTGTAAACTCACTGGGTCAAGGATTGTTTTCTGATTTGTCTGCACAGAACCCAGCGTAACAGGGCCCTGATCCTAGATTGGATTTCCTGCCTGCTACTGGAATACATATGAATAAATACATTCTTAAGTAATAATAATCATGAAAGCTTGTAAAAACACATTAAAAATTAAAATGAGAATTATTGCTTTTTTAAAAATTATACGTTTAATAAATTTATAAAAATATCAATATTTCATTGAAAAAATTCCCATTTTTGAAACATTTTGACTGGCTCACCAGGTAGTCAAAAAACTGCAACATTATTAATGAAAAATTTCTGGGGGTTTTCAGGTTGAGAATTGAATTTTTTTGCTGTGAAATTTGTCCAAAATTTGATATTCTAGAAATGTTTTCCAGATCTAATAGTAATAATAGGTTTTTTAAACCAAAAATCATTGCTTAAATTCTCAGCCACCTAAATAAAATATTACTACTAAAAATCTATTAGTTACATATATACATAATCCTCTAAAACATGCTACCATTCTCCAGCCACATATATTAGGAGGTAAAACTTTACTGTGTATACTGACAGCAAATGAAGATTCTTCTTTAGTTGCACTGATTTCTTTTTCTAGAGCTATAGATATCTCTCTCTCTCGATATATAAATATTCTTCTGATGGCAGAGGTAAATGTGGGGCACTAAACAAGTTGACAATATCCTTTTAAAAAATAAAAAAAGCCATCAAGATTTATTTTGCACTCAGCTCATTGGCTTCTTTAGACATAAGACATTCTGCCTATCCCTGGTGGCCATCCTGAAAACAAGAGGTTACCCCCAGTGAGAGAGAAATGTAAAATAAATACTGTTATAAATAAAACATCTTCCAGTATGCAGAGCAATGCTATCAAGTTTCTGTACACTTAATATATCTAGAGAGAGAGCCATACTGTATCAGCATGAGCTTTAATCTGCAAAATATATTAACATGTGGAGTAATATTCCCTTAGCTTCCTCATTGTGTAGAGGTTTTATCTCCTTACACTTCCAAATACTCCAAATAGCAGAACAGTTTTCAAATGGCATGTGGCAAGTATTTAAAAGAGAGTAATCGATATTACTGAGAGGAAAAGACATTCATGTTCCAGCCCTCCACAGTAAATCACGTTCACCTACCGGTGTAAATAAACCTGCCCGGGGCTCCTTTGCAGAACTGTTTGGATTTATACGACAGTGTGACTTCGACTACACCAGGAATGTGACGAGGGGGGGTCTGGACTCGAATAGCATGAGGTGTGATAAGCTGGGAAATAACAACAAGAGAGAAGCATGTCATGTATGGGATGTTGGAGTTTTTCCCCACTGGCCCCTGGTTGTGTTTCTCAAGCAAATGAAACTGTTTACTACTTCCTAGGAATTGCCAGATTGGATCAGACCAGTGGTCCATCTACTCCAACATCTTGTATCCAATCACGTGAAGCACCAGCTGCTTCAGAAGAAGGTTCAAGAAATCCTGCATAAGGCAACTTACAGGATAAATTGCCTACAGGGAAAGTTTCTTCCTGGCCCCCATTAATTAATTGTTGATTTATGCCCTGAAACTTGAAGGTTTGTTTCCTTTCCCAAACTCCTGGCCTTTTCTTTTAATCCTCCCCGTAACTCTGGATATTCTTCTTATCCATATAAACATCCAGTCCTTTTTAGAATCCCCCTAAAAGTTCATGGACACAATGATACAATGTGGCAAAGTATTCCACAGACTAACCAAGCATGGGCGAAAAAGCATTTCCTTTCCTCAGTTTTAAAGTAACCATCTTCCAGTGTCATGGACCCTCCCCTTGTTCTCGTGTTATGATGAGAATGAGCGAATAGTAGTTCCCCATCGACCTTCTCTATACCAGCGATATCTATCTTCGGCTATGCAATAGCAAGTTACTTTTGCCTACCTCACTCCATACAAGCATGGTCCCAAATACAACTTGTAGCCCATCGAAGAAATTGTCTCCTATAATGATCACCATTGCGCCCCCTGTAGTCCAGCCTTCACTTGGGCTAATAGCTTTGATGCATGGTGTGGCTAAAGAGAAAAGGGATAACAGAGTGGTCAGTTAGTTTTCTTGCAACTGGTTTTGGAGCCTAGGTTTTTGGGTAGGTCGGGGCCAGTTATACCCCATGAGTGGATGGCAAAGCTGTTATTTGCACGAATTGCACTGGTGCAAATCGTGACTTATAGTTTCGCCTGTCCACTCTTGGGGGTTTGCACTGCTGCAGCTGTATTGCTGGCTCGTATACCCAGTGCCACCACAGCTAGGACACGTACCCTTAATTCGTTCACCCACGAAGACGGCTTACCAGTCCAAGGAACCGAAAGTAAAATAAAATAATGTTGTTCTCTGCCTTGCTCGTGTTAATTACTTGCCTGTTCATTACCGGCACTTAACATTGTGTCATTAAGGTCTAATAGGCCAACTGTAGTACTGGGTGTAAAAGTGAAACCCTTAAGTGATTGGGCAGAGGCTGTTTTAAAAACACTCATTAGCATATGATCACACAAGAACAAAAAAATGCAGGCTGTAGGAGGGATGTGTTACAATTTACTGTGTTTATCAATGGGATAAAGAGATATGGAAATAGCTTGCCTTTCCTCCAGTTCCTATCAAGAGACAATTTCTAATAATTTTTGTGACTTTATGGAATTTTTGTGACTTTTTTTTCCTGCTCTTTTCCATATGTTCAAGGCCTCTGGACTATACATCCCATCAGGAACCCAATATGGTTTCCAGGCCATAACCAAAGTCAATCCATCACTCCATTCCCAATGTTGACAGGGTCAGAGGTGGAGGGGAACTTTGGCAGGGCTCCAAAAACATGAGACTCCTTTGAACAGCCAGTCAATCACATCCAATCAGTCAAGGAAAAACTGGATGGCTTCCTAGGCTTGGAATCCTGGGATTTTCCTTCTACCATTTCACTACCCGCTGGGGGGGGAATTAACACTGCTCCGAATTCTTTACTGATTCAATCATTTTCTTCCAGTTCATTAATTCTTCTTAGGTTGATACAGGGCACATTTAAGAAGGGGGGCAACAAAACAGTGTAATGAAATAATAGCCTTGCTTGTCTCTTCTACTAACATCACAAACTCTTCTCACTTTCACAGGCTTCAGGGAGATTGGAGAAGGGGGGAAGAGACATAGATAGGATTTTTAAGTGGTGCCTGTTTTGAAGAAGTGGAGTTTGTGAGAGGGGCAGGGACGGGGGGGTGGGGGTGGGGGGACGGGGGGGTAGGGGGGGTTACCCACTTTGAAGCTTAACAGATACAGGTATTGGTAATTGCTTTAATATACCCCAAGAACCGTCCCATGGACGACGGCAATTCCTGCTTAGCCAAACAAACTAAAATCAATTAGTGTCAGTTTCCTTCTGCGCATTGTTATGCTTTGCACACAGTTTGTTTAAGAGAACCAGACACTTTTTCATACACATCTTGCACTGTAATGTTTCTGTTTAAGTAAGATGTCATGTTGCCTAATTTGCCTGAAATCAAGTCTAGGCCAGCTGAGCAGTAAGTCTGACATTCTTAGCTAATTGTGAACGCTTTTACAGAGTTTTTCATCTTCACAGCCCTGTACAAATTAACTAATGAATAGACGGGGGGAGTCTCTCTCTTAGGTGAAGAAGGATCATATTCTGCATGCGGTAGAGCCTTTCTTGGGTTCATCTTCCTTCTCTAAAGCCCCTGAAGTTCTGCAGCTCTCTCCACTCCCACCAAAACAAACAAAAATTCAAGTGCAGAGTGCGTGTGTTTGTTTTCACTGGTGTACCATATTCCAGACAAAGTTCCATACCTTCTGAAGGGTCAAGTCTCCTCGCTCTCCGTCCATGTTTAGAGTTGTTATGAACAAACATGTTGTCAGACACTGCCAATACATGTCCATCAACATTCACTGTTGTTGATAACACAACCTACGAAAAAAGGCAGGTAAATGACTTGTTTTAGTATTCAGCTTTTGATGTATTTATTATTATATTGAATTAAAATCTTGTTCTATTTGTAAAATATAATCGTTTATTTCCCACTGGGGGAAAAAGTATTTTCACTTTCTATCCTGTGCCTTCATTCCATTTAACATGGCATCCAAAGGGCCATATGCTATCCTCAATGTACATGACATAATGAACCAGTGACTAGAGACTATCTTAAGTTTAGTTTTCTGTGATGCATTGTAGCATAGAGGTCTGTATGTACAGACAATGAGCGCAGACTGCAGAGCACCAGAATAATGTGCCCGCTGCTATGTATATATAGAAGCACAGCCATCTGCTATCCTACACACACGTACATCATAGGAAATCAAACTTACAACCATCTGCTTCTAAAACATAGGTTTCTATCCACTGAGATAAACAGAAACTTCCATTAGCTGCAAGGGGTAGGAGGGCCTGGTTTCCAGAAGGTGGCACTCAGTACTTTGTGCAAATCAGGCCGCTTTAGGGGTGTCTTAGGTTGGGCACCCACAAATTGTGGCTCTCAAAATCATGGATTTTGAAAATCTTGCCCTTTTTGTCCAATCTCGCTGGGTCCCAACAGGACACAAGTCAACTCCTACAGGAAATAATCATATTTGTTACTGAGACTCATTGAGATCTCTCTTTAAAACAAAATGTCCTAAGCTATAAATCTATTAAACCCAGAGATATGTGCGTCTTTAAACCACATATATTAAAAAAAAAAAATCCTTCATTTGAACAAGTATGAAGAACGTGCATCTCATTAGAACTTTGAAGTCCAGACCCTCAGCGGGTCCACATTGGTGTACCTCCCTTGGCTTCAACAGAGCCTCCCTCATTTGCTGCTAGCTGTTAAGGATCTGACCCTGAGCGTGTGCATGAATTTTCAAAGATGCCATTGTCATGCTTTAAGTAAGAGACTTTCAGGCTTTAATTGTTGATAAACTGTATTCAGCACACAGCAGGAAAACCCTGCCCTCCTGTAGGATTTTGCTGGTTTAAAAATGCTCTCGCTCGGTCTCTTTTTTTTTTTTACGACAAGGTTAATTCATTCCAAAAGGCTCTTGTCATACTGTACATTAATACTTCTCATGCATTCCTGTCACAAAATGTGCTGCTTTTGTGTGTGCCAACTGATTTCATCATTGCACATTTGGGTGGAGTGAGACTCTGTTCCAAAGTGAACGTTTCCCGCATGACATAGCTGAACCCAGTCAGATGCACCTCATTATTTTCCGTTAAACAATGGAAATAAATTTTAATCTTTCACTGGCCAGCACAGACCATGCTATGGCAACAGGGGAATAGACCTGAATCATTCCAGTGTCTGAAATATTTACGACAAGATTTTAAATTGTAACCAAATGTAAATCAAAAATATACCCCATATATATATATATATATATATATATATATATATATATATACACACACACACACAAAATATACAAATACCCAGCCACACAGAGACAATTTTATATATCCACACACACAAAATATATATTAATACACACAAATATAAATCGTACACATTACAGGTGTGTGACCAAATAGGTATCTGTATTATACACAAAAAGTGAGAGAATATAGATGATCAACATTTCATTTAAAAAGGTTCTACTGGTCCCTGAAACACAACAATAACTTCCAGACAGAAGTCACATTCTTGCTAAGTGCTGAGCACCCGCAAATCCCATGGTGAGCAGGGATTGCTGAGACCCCCGTAAGACCCCTCTCCTGGGTGGTTTCATTTTGTCACCTCTCAGGTTCACCACTGGGGGGGCGAAGACACCACCTCACAGAATGAAGCCAGAGTAAATAAATAAAACCATCCTCTGAGATGGACCCAACTCACAGAGGTTGGGTCTGGATCTGAACTCGCTCCGTGTTTTTTGGAGGTTGTTGGAGCTTAGGTTTTGGTTTGGGCCCATCTCTTGGCATTACTGCAATTCAGCAAGAGAGAGATTGTGTCTTCTTGACTATGATTCTTCTGGTTCACTTTTTTATCTATGCTACAGAGTAAGAATATTTTAGATGATGGAGGTAAAGTTACTGGCGCTCCAGACTTAGCTCCACTCACTCCCCCTTGCCAGGCGAGGACAATCGAATGGTTGAATACTGAAGATTAAGACTCAACGTTTTAAGAATAAAAGGAAGCAGAATGTGCATTCCACCATAGTCTCTAACTCCCAGGCCCTCCCCTTTCACAAGCCAACAACTGCTTTCCCCCAGTGAGTATTTCCTGGGTCACGGAGGGTGACCCTTTCCATCTGGAATCAATCAGTCAACTCCTGACAACTTCCTGAAACACCTCACTCCATTTCCTGTTCTCTCCCCCTTCTCTCTTTCCCCCTGGTTTGCTTCACTCTTCAAAACTACAGGCCACAGCAGCTTAATGTTAGAGGGTCAGACACAGTTAGACTCCAAAACACTACACAAGGACACCTTTGACCTTCAAAAATCTTTACATCTTAGCTAAACAAATCAAGGTCAACATTTCTTACCATTACCTTGTTAACCATTTATAGGCAGTTTTGCCAATGCCCTTCTGAATGCATATCCATCAATACCACTTGTTCTCCCAAGATCGTAAAACATGGCAAGCTTTGTTTTCTTTATGTGCATTGAGTGCTGGTGAAAGGTGCTGGCATGACTTCCCTGGAGATTTAAGTCCTCAAATTTATCCACAGCACAGGCAAGTTACCTCTGGTACCACTATGCCAACTTGTCTGATTCCTCATCTGATGAGACCACCTCTCCGGGTGAGATTTGGCCACTAGGCCCATTCAGTTTATGGCTGTTCCACTGAGATCAGCAATGGGTGGCACACGTTGTTGTGGCTTTGGTAAACTCTTCTTGGGAAAGAGACTGAGAACACCAAATTATTTACAAAGGGCATCAAACACCCTTTTGGCTCACGGCTGACCTGGGCTCAAGTTTAAGCGATTACATAGAAACAAACGATTCTGCATCCCAATTCCTTGAATCAGCTAGTTCTCCAAACTGTAGTTTTAGAAGAAAATGAAGACTATAGTGACCTGAACAGTTAGAATAAAAAGGACAAGGCGTCACATTCACAGATCTGAATCGGGGTTCCAGCAAGCATAATGGAGAGAGATTTGTGATCTTGTAAGTGGGGTTTTCAGCAGCTCTTAAGATTTACTTTGCTAGTCTGGATGGTTCCTCTTTACTGGCCTCAGATATTAGTTAATTATTCCCCGGCAACATTAGAAACCTGCATGTTTCTTCGAGTGCTTGTTCCTGTTCATTGCAATCAGGTGCGTGAGCGCGCATGCGCACAGTAGCCAGAAGATTTTTCTCCTAGCAGCATCCATGGGATAGGCCTAGGTGCCCTCTGGAGTCGCACCTTCATGGCACCCAGTAAAGGGCCCTGCCGACCCGCCACCCTCTCAGTTCCTTCTTACCGCCAGTGACGGCAGCTGGGACTTCCCCTTGCTCTTGCTTCGGCAAGTGGCTTGGCAGTACTTTCGGTTTTTGCTGTAGATAGTTAGTTCTAGGTGGTTAGTATAACATAGTTAATTCACTTATAAGTTTCAGTTATGGGGGGGGTCCTCCTCCCCTCCTCTCCCCCCCCCCCCGGTTTCCTTCCCCCCCATTATTTTTCACCGGGGCATGCCGCGATCCCCAGGCTTCAAGACTTGCCAGGACTGCGTGAAGCGCATAGCTAAAAGTGACCCCCACACCTCCTGTTTACAGTGTCTGTGCAAGGGTCACCAAAAAGACCACTACAAGATCTGTCGGGAATTCCAACTGAGAACTCTTAAAGAGAGGGAGCAGAGGGCTTAAAATCCTCCTCATGGAGGCAGCTCTCTGACCTCAGTCGGACCCAGGCACTGGGGATCCTGCTTCCAGTATGTCTTTTTCAGCATGGAGCACTCTGGCGCCATCTTTGAGAGATCCAACGTCGAAGAAAGACACTGCCAAGAAGGCTCGGCACCATCATGGAGGCTCTCAGGGGCACTCCAGCCTTCGGCACCAGTCCCAATAGCCGGCATAGAAGAAGAAGAAGAAGACAGAAAGAGGCCGATCCCCCTCAGCAAGATCCAGGGATCAGCCATTAGTGACAACTCAGTTGGGCCACGGCTCTGAGGCTCAGTGGGGCTATGTTGACTCCTGCCCAACTGAGGCAGTCAAGTCCGAGCCCGTCACGCTTGCCGAACCCCCTCAGAGCACCTGCTGCTCCCGTCCACCCCGGAGCCTTTGAGGCAGCACAGGACCTGCTGAGACTCACGCCGCCAGTCTCGCCCCTGAGGCAGGAGGATGTGTGAGCACTGCAGGCTCCATCCCGGCACCCCATTCAGTCAAAGGGAAAGCCAGCAAGGATGTCACGCCAATCCCCTTCACCTCGGTGCCCACCGACGTCAGTGCCTCCATCCAGGGAGCGGAGTCGGTCCCCAGCCGAGAGTTGCAGCGCTGCCCAGGCCCTCCTATTCTGAAACGTCAGAGTCGGACTCGTATCGCTCGGACGATAGCAGGAGCAGAAGGTCCAGCTCACGGCACCATAGGGGGTCCCGCCCAATGCAGTGGCCCTCACAATAGCAGAGCCCGGCTCAATAGCAGAACCCGAACTCTTTTGGACTCCATGGGCTTTCCATCAGGGCCAGAGTCGGAGCCATGGATCCCGCTTGGGAGCTGCGTCGGTGGCGTCTGCAACATTTGTTCCGCCACGACCAGCGACTGAGCCAGTACCTCTGGCGTCAACGCCATCGGCCGCGGCACGGTCACGGGCATCGACACCGACCACGGCGCCGCCGGGGGCATCAGACTGCTGCTACGGTGCTGGCAGCAAGGCCTTCAGCACCGACGTAGTCATCGACGCTGGCTGCGACGGCGTCGATGAAGACCCTGGCGCAGGTGCGACCTGAGGCATCTACACTGGCGCTGGCGTGGGACCAGGCATCGGCACCAATACCCAGGCCCTTCGCGGCGCTGGA